TTTTTTTTTTTTTTGTTTTTGAAAAACGATAAATAATAACCAGAATACAAGTGTTACCATCTGAAGGGGGCAGATCAGTGATGAAGTCCACTCCTAGATGTGACCATGACCAGTTGGTAAATGGTGAGGACTCTTGGAGATGTTGCAATCCGAGCAGCCTTGGATGAACCTTCTCACATCCCTGGCCAGCAGCGAGAGAGTGCCATTGCCCCCTGGATGGCCAGTGCCCTGAGATGTGTGCACGGAGAGGATTAATGGAGTGCGCTGAGTTCTGGGTATGTATTGAAGCTCCGGTGGATACTCTTGCTTGTATCCAAGGTAAATCATCACCACTGTCATCCCTTACATGTGTGTTGTTGAACTAACAATGTCATCATTGGCTAAAACGCATGCGCATGTCACTTTACTTCCTGATCAAGTGGGCACCAGAGTCCGGGTTGCTTTCACATTCATGTGAGCCACACCAGAGTTCCAGTGCAACTGAAATGTTAAATAAGTCCTGGTGGGAACACACATATCCTCACAGAAACCGATGTAGGATGTCACGGTGTCCGTGAGCTCATCCAGATCAGTGGCTGCGGCCTCAAAAACACTCCAGTCAGAGCTGTCGAAGCAGGCTTGTAAATCCTGCTCTGCTTCATTAGTCCATCTCTTTACAGTTCTTACTACAGGCAGCAGATTTTAATTACTGCTTGTAGGCTGGTAGAAGAAGAACGAAACCAAAACATAATGTAAAATGTAGACTTTTTCTGACAAATAAATGTTCATTTACATATAAGGAGTTGTATTTAGAGAATGTTTATCATTTTATGAGAAATTGAGGATTCTCATTCTCATATGTGGATATTAAAAAAAAAAATCACAAACACATAATGCTTTTCATAGAATGAGTTTATTGAAGTTTATTATTGATTTATTTCCCTTGTAAATTTAAAGAAGTGACCCAAAACAAAAAAGAAGAAAACAGTTGATGAGAGTACACAACACAACTGCCACACTCACTCAGCCTGGCTACTTGCACTCAGATTATCTTGCTGGACAAATACGATATATGATAACAAACCCAGTTAACAAAATATGTTTTAAAAAACGTTTTGCAAACCTTTCCTACTAAGACAGGAAGCAAAGTAAAAGAGAGAGCGACAGGATCAGGAAAGGTCCACGAGCTTGGACTCAAGCTCGGGACGCCCAAAGCACAACACTGCTACATGTCAGTGTGCTGCCCACGAGGCTATCATTTTTTTAAAGATGTTTTAAAAATGTTTTTTTCTTGGTTATGCGAATGTTAATTGAACATTCCATTTAATTCTTCTGCAAACATTGTGAGAATGTTACTTTTGAATGTTCTCTGAACGTTCTGAAACAAGAAGTAACATTTAAAAAATGTTAGATGAACATCCAACTAAACATTAAATATTTCACACTGTTGAATTTTCTTTTAGTGTTTTTGTTTTTGTACATTTATTTTGAACATGTCTTGTGTAATTTGAGAGGGAAACATGAATACTTAATCGTTAGCACAGTAAGGCTTACGATGTTCTTCTGAAACACATCCTGGTTTAAAAGCATCACTCTATTACTCTTATTATGCCACCAAATTACAGAAAGTAAAGGAAAAAGAAGAGTTTTCCAGCTTTAGAAAGGTTATTTTCATTGCTGTTGTAGTAGCTGTTTAGTCAGGTTGTGATCGAGGGATGGATTCACAGTAAATTCTGAAGAAATAATCAGAATCAGAATCAGAATCAGGATTAGCTTTATTCCCCAGGTGTGCGCAAACACAAATTTGTTGGTTTTTTTTATTTTTTTTTATCAGGTGCTCCTGGTACATACACACATGCATGCAAAAATACATACATACACATCTGACATGAGAACAGAACAAAACATTTAAATAGTAAGACTTAACAAAAAATTATGTGTATGAATCTGGAACAGTAGATTTATGTACAGATTTGTGCATTTTTACTCTATATAGAACTGTATAAATAAGAGATATCCATATGTATTTACATAATACTTGAGAAAAAGGCAATAATTAAAGATGTAGAATTAATTACGGAATAAATTACAGAACACAGGTAATGAATGATTCATGTGTTTAGCTGTTTAAGCTGGAGATGGCATTGGGGAAAAAAATGTTTTTTTTAATAAATAATAGTTTTGTTAATTAAATAAATAATAGTTTGTTCTCGTTGTATTTTTTGTAAGTGCTATTTGTCCTCGGTGGGTTTTGGTCTTGAACGTGTTCTAGTGAAAAGCTAAAGAGCTACAGATCACATGACCTCCAGCTTTGCGTGTGAATGTGTCAGAACTGCATTTATTCTTATATTGGTTTTTTGGGTGTCAACAACAGCTCAAAGTAATCAACTTTGCTTTCATAGAAAAAACACCACTTTTTTTGAAGAGTACACATGTATAAAAACAAATAAATGGCCATGTAGACACAAATACAGACAGTGTCGCAAAATGTCAGCCTGTTTACCACTCAAACATCAGATCTACTGAAGACAGAATTAATTACGGAATAAATTACAGAACACAGGTAATGAATGATTTCATGTGTTAGCTGTTTAAGCTGGAGATGGCATTGGGGAAAAAAATGTTTTTTTAATAAATAATAGTTTGTTCTCGTTGTATGTTTTGTAAGTGCTATTTGTCCTCGGTGGGTTTTGGTCTTGAACGTGTTCTAGTGAAAAGCTAAAGAGCTACAGATCACATGACCTCCAGCTTTGCGTGTGAATGTGTCAGAACTGCAATTATTCTTCTATTGGTTTTTTGGGTGTCAACAACCCTCAAAGTAATTTTGTTTGTTGTGAAATGGGAAATTTGAGCACGTTCACCTTAGATTTTAAATTGAACGTCATGTATTTTGAAAGGAAAACATGCATCATGCTTGTTAATGTTGTACTGTACATTGTACATCAAGATTCATTTCCCTAAAGACACAA